GATCATGTGTCGTAAAACAACGCTACACAACAATAACACAAATCCAGTATTCTATCAACGTTACTGCAAACAACGCGCCCAAAGCTGATGCAAATGGTAGATAAGTGATATTGTGCTTTATAACATACGATACGTAACAGTAATATCAAAATATTATCTGGTATGATGTGTAATCTACGATATTATTGGCGGACACAATCTTAACAACATAAGATACGCAGATGACACATGAAATTACAAAACCTGCAGAAGGTAGCAACGACGGGTGAGAAGAAGGAACTAAGCGTAAACTACAAGAAAACGGAGACCATGATCGCCAGTAAGAGGATGAGTCCGAAATGCGATCTGAAGGCCGGTAACACTAGAACCAAGCAAACGCGGAAGTTTAAATACCTCGGAAGCGTCTTGACAGAGGACGGTAAGTGCGACACTAAACTGTAGGCGTATTGGGATGGCCAAGGACACATTCCAAAAGTTGGGCAGGGTACTGCGAAACAAGACGATATCTCTGGTAACAAAGAAAAGAATACTGAACAGTTACGTGACATCTGTCCTTCTTTACAGCAGCTGGACGATTTCCTCAAAGATGAAGAAGAGACTCGAGGCGACAAAGATGTGGTTCTACAGAAGGATGCTAAGGATATCATGGACCGAGCAAACGATGAAGTCTTAGTGAGGATGCAAACAAGGAGGAGGCTTATACTTAATATCAGCTGAAGTTTCTGGGACATATAATGAAGAAGGAGGGCCTGGAGAATCTGATACTCACGTGTCGACTAGAGGAAAAGGAAGACAAGGGATAAAAACGCGTGACATAACTGGCGGGCTTAAGCAAATGGATAACAGAACGTGGTCTGGGGGACGAAAGCAGAGGGAAGGAACTTGTTGAGAGCTACAAGGGTGTTATACTAGAACATTACCTATTCTATTGTAATAGACTCCCCCATACATATAATAAGTAGTAGTAGTAGTAGCGGTCGCCAGTGGGGATCAGTGGAGTTGAGTGAGTCAGTCGATGTCGGACATTGAAGTATCAATTACCACAACTAGATTGCTGCGTCATTAACTATTATTGCAAGTTCCTAACGTTTTGTACGTCGAACCTAATTTAGGACCGACTTAGTGAAATACAAGCCTCCACTGTAAAAACTACTTTACAACAAAGGGATAGAGGAAGATGGCGAGCCATGATCGCCTACGTCTTGAAAGAACATGGCACATAAAAAGAAAGAAAAAAGAATATTTTATAGGATTTGATGTTGACTTTAATGTGTTTATCCGTAAACTTGACGAATTTTAAATGTTCGCTAAGTTATACCAATACAATATACGTTACCTACCAGTGTTTGCTATAGGTTGTTTACTATACAATGCATATAGAAAGATATTACATTTAGTGTCTCAATATACAGGTAAGTGGTGTGACCTTACGTAGTTTTGGCACAGGTTATCGTATACTGTAACCTAACTTCATTTAGTCGTAGGCCTAAAGTTAGGGCCACTGGTAGCCTACCGTGTGTTTGGGAGTCGACCTATATGGTAGATATAGGCTTAATTCAGAATTTTGAGCTAAAAATCTTGAGGTCGACTTGTACACCAGGTCGACGTGTACGGCAAAATTTACGTTATTTCAAGCCTCCCACAAAGATAAAAAGGTGGAGGAACGCTGATCTAAGAAAATAAAAACGAAGTACACGTAACTCCTTAAGAAGCCAGGGATCGATTTGACACTGTATTTATATTATGAATAAAGCCGTCTTATAAAATGATAAAACGACCTAAACAATGTTAAACACGGATAAACGTGACCACAATACGACGTTGAGTCAAAAGGACGGTTTTTCCCATGACACCGCTTTTTTAACTACCTTAATTCTTCGGCAATGTTTATGGTTTTAAAAAGCGATGATAAGAATTGGAATAAAACCTAAACATATGATGAAAGTGAATTTATACATCTTTTTTTTTTTTTGCATTATTTACATTATTTGGACTGTTATCTTCATCTTCATTGTCATATTTACAGCCTTTCTGCCGACCAAGCATAAATATGAATACAATATGGGAACCAGTAATAAGGAGTACTAGAGAAAAGCAATGAATAACAACAAAAATCGCAATATAAGCTCTGGTAAAAAAATGTAATAATAATAATAACAGAAAAAATGCAATATGAGCACTGGTAAAAAATGATGATGATAAGTCCCAAAGAATCATTCACTGATGTCCTCAAGGATAAGGACGTTGCTTAAAGAGTTGTGAGTTCAATACCATGCCACAGCAGTGGTGAACAAAAATACGTGGAGAGTTAAGTTTGAAGAAAATAACTGAGACATTCGGAACACTCTACCCTGGTGGGAGAAATAAAGGGTTCATTTTCGAAAATCCAATCACCTGAAGAAGGCCAGAGCGTACAACGGCCGAAATTCACAAATATGACAATGAAGATGAGGATAACAGTCCGAATAATGTAAATAATGCAAGTAATCATAATACTTCATCTCAAAGATATAGACAGATCTTTTTTTTTTTTGTTATTGAGAATTTACAACAGAAATATTAAAAATACTATTTGAGCAATAATATATTGGACTTCGTAGATTAAAAACAATTTTAATGTCCGCAATAAGAATCTATCTGCAGAATTTATTTGAAGTCATTAATGCAACAGGATTTGCATTCATGTCTGTAGGAGAATTACGAGTACATGGGAAAATCTTTTTTTGAGAATGAATCGTTAATTAAATAAATAGAGGATTTAAGATGAGAAACCCCTAATTTTTCATTAAAGTTCGTCATTATTGTCGAGATGAATCGAGGATTAGCGAGAATCCAATTTAGATTAAGGCTAGAATTAGGGCGACTGTTGGAACTATTAGACGAGCTTGGTTTATTTAGGAAAGAAATGACATTAATCCCGAACTTATACTAGGAACAAACCACCTGCATACGGATAGAAAAATCAATTCAATTAATACACAAAAATAGAAATATGCTCAAGACAAGGATGCCTTTTCTCGCCGGACTTAATCAAACTTTAAATTGAGACGATCATCAGAGATTTAGACCAGGATTTATTATTGGCGGCCATAATCTTAACAACATTAGGTATGTGGATGACACAGCGTTGATAGCAGACACAAAAAGGAAACTACAGGAACTTCTACAGAAGTAGTAAAGGAAAGCGAGAAGAAAGGACTAACTATCATTTATAAGAAGAAATAACATGTGGTTGTTTGCAAAAGGAACAATCCAAGATGTGAACTACAAATGGCTTCGACTTTTGACACGGACAGCAGTACACAGACTAAAATATGCTTAATATCTATGTGAATAAGAAATAACGGTTTCGTGAGAAATTTAACTTCGCGAGAAGATAGTAAAAGCCAATTTGACCGAAGAATAAATAAACAAAAGAAATATTTTAGAGTCAAGTGACAACAAAATCGGACATTGATGATTTCCGGTTGCTGGACTATAATCCAGCAACTGGAAATCATCAATCAGAGTTGGGATTGAATAACCAGTGCTGGTCCGCTCTTGGCTGGAGACAAACTGCTCCTCCGATAGTTTGGACGCTGCCCATTCGTATTGCCAATGACATGACGTTATGCTGAGATGGAAGGAGAGTTGATAGAACGAAAGAGCTAAGCTGTTAGACTGATATGGCTGAAGTTGTCACTGGGTGTCACCTATCGATTCACCCTTGGTAAAGGTATGAATCTATCTCTTCTACCTCCCCCGGCTATGGATATATAGCAGGACAGACTGGGTCCTACAGCCTTGGATAGCAACCGGTCTCGCTCGACTCTTCCGTCGAATCCGACGTACGAGGGTCAAGCAGATCAGTTCCTAGGAAACCGACAGCCCGACAACAGCACATGAGAATTGATAATAGTGGTGAAGGTTTCGTGCAGGACCATTCACACTTTTTGAAGGGCCGAATACAGAGACCTGGTGCACTACGTGCCACAAGGTCCCCAAACGACCCTCTGCAGGATTTGAATTCAGAGTTGTTTTTCTCCTAGACCAGTTGCCATCCAATGCTATAGAACCCAGTCTGTCCTGCTATTTACCCATAGCTGGAGCAACCGGTCTAGGAGAAAGAAAAACTCTGAATGCCTGAAGAGGATCGGACTCCGTCTGGCTATTTTCCCTAAGATACACCCCTTTTGCTACAACTGCAGTACATGGCATGTCCATATGGCTTCAATAGTTTACGAGTCACATGATCCTGGTGCTACAGGGTGCCTAGTAAAAAAAAAGTGGTAAATCCAGAAAGAAATTTATTTAGCTGTCATGATCCGTGTACAAACTGAACAGACGTCACGAGTTCCAGCGCCTCACGAGGCTGGCATCCCGCTCTCACCCCTTCACTGTCGAAACTCCTAAATATAGCCGTCTCTTCTACTCTAATAGCTTCGTGTCTCGCACCTCTCGCCTGTGGAACTCCCTTCCCTTTTCCTGTTTCCCTGTGAGCTATAATTTCCAGCTATTCAAGTGTAATGTCAATCGACATCTCCAGTTGCCTTGATCTATCCACTACCCTCATCCTTTCTTCTATCACTCCTGTCTGATCTTGCTCTAAATTTTCTGTAACCCCTTGCGTCCTAGTGGCTTCCCGCCTTGCCTGGGGTGAAATGCTTAAAAAAAAATTATCGTAGATATTCGAAATGTTTGCCTGGATGTTTAACACAAAGTTGTAAGCTTGATAACCAGGAGGCAATGACTTTGCGGATAGTGTCAAGAGGAATTTCATTCCAAGCTTCAGTTAAGTTCCACTTCAATGAATCAATATCGACGATGTCACGACGACGGTTTTTCAAGTGAGTTAGGAATCTACTCCAGATTTAGTCTTACATAGCATTCGGATCTGGGCTTTTAGTGGGCCACTGAGATGGACCAAATGGAGCTGGTCTCTATTTTCTCGAAGAATAAATTTGCCGCCCTTTTTCTAGGTACTCTGTTGTATTAAATAATACGTCCGACCAGCAAAAACTATGTGGTTTAAATCCCAAACCGTCTTTCAGAAATATTCCAGAAACAAGAATTCTGTATGAAAAAAAATGCCGCTGAGAATAAAAATATGTTTTTTTTTTTTTTTTTTTTTTTTTTGAATCTCGTTATATTTCTCCGGCATATCCTAAACGCGGTATCCGAATTATCTGCCCTTGATGATTGCACTCTGAACCTTTTGATTAAGTCTTTCAACGCTCAATCTGATTTGGCTTCAATTGATCATCATTCCATTCCGATTAGCTGCTTAAGTTTTTGTTTTTTTGGTTTTTTTTTATTTTGTATCGAATACAAAGCCTTTCATTTTTACGTCCCTCGCCTTTCTCTTCTCGTTGGCGACTTTTCTCTCTTCCGCGTCAGATTTCTGTCTCGCGTCAGATTTGTCTTTTTCAATTGGTCGCCTTATCGTTCTTCTTTTCTAACTACTTCTCTAATCTTATTTTATTTCATACATTTTTTTTTTTTTCCTTCATACCATTTCTAATTTCACAGCGTTTCACTCTCGCAACGTTATCTTTTCTTTTTCTCTTAATTTCTTTCTCTCTCCCTCTCTCTCTCTCTTTATTTGTTTTTCTTCACTCTTTTTTTTTTATTTAATCTCCGTTCTCTAGATTTGTCCTTGTTTACTTTTCTTTTTGTTCTTCCTAAGAACATTTTTTAATCTATTTCTCTTTCATTTTTTTATTTCTCTTTCTTTATAATTTCTTTCTTTTTTTATTCCGCTTTATTTTTTTTTTCTTTCGCTTTCTTTTTTATTACTCTTCCTTTTTATTTCTCTTCCTTTCTTTTTACTTCTCTTTCTTTTTTTACTTCGCTGTATTTTTTATTTCTTTTTCCTTTTTATTTGGCTTTCTTTTCTTTCGCTTGCTTTTTTATTTCTCTTTCTTTTTATTCCGCTTTCTCTCCCACCCTTTCGTTTTGTTTTTGCGTTTTTTTAATTTTATCTCAGTACATTTTTTCTTCACTTTAATATTTCGTTTTTATTTTATTTCACATCTTTTTTCATTTCTTTTTATTTTATTTTGTTTTCTTTTCATTTAATTTTTTTAATTCCTTTTTTATTTTTATTTTATTTTTATTCTTTTTTATTTATCTACTTTTTTAATTTTTTTTTTATTTCGTTTTATTTTTTATTTCGTTTTATATTTATTTCGTTTTTTCCGAAACGTTTTTTTTATTTCATTTGTTGACTTTCATGCTGCCATTCATCCATCTATTATCTCATTCTCCTCGCCTTTCTATTTCTCCACCAAATCCCCCACCATACGAATGACATCATTATTAGCTTGTTGAGAAATATGGCTCGATTCAGTCAACCCGCATCAAATATTTTACTGCATGCAGCTAACGAGATATAGAAATAACACAAGACCCAGCTGAAAATATAAAAGAAATGCATTTTTTCATCTCATTCCTCTATCTATTTTTTAAATGTTTTTTCTTTTCTTTTTCCTTGTTTTCCTATCAGGAATTTGATGTGCGTATGACGTAACCGTTAAAGATATGGAGAATGAAATTGGCGAATCAAGTTCAAACTCTGACAAAGTCAGTTTACATTTAATTCGCAATACTGCCCTCGAGAAAGGCAGGAATGCACTTCTTTCATCTATTGGTAAATAACATAACCTTTTTAGCGTTGTATAAGCTGTTCATTTTTAGTCTTTGATGATACATGGTCAGGGATCGTTCCTTGCTGCTGGCACCAGATAACCCATTATAACCTGCCGTATATTACTTGGAGAGATGTGTACTGTCAAGAAAACCCCTTTTCATTGAGAAATTCTAGGGAGAGGAATTATTCGTGTATAATACGCACTTTTTTACCCTAAAATCAGGGGTGCGTATTATACCCGAAAACTAAATTTTAAGTTTTCTCCGGTCAGGTAAAAATCCATATTCAGGAGGGTACGATCGAAAGTAATATCTGTGATCCAATCTAACTTCTATGTGCCGCGGCTCTTCAGGACGTGGGTGATCATGGCTCTCCACAACTACCTGTCTTTTTTTAACGCTGAGCCATGTTTGTCTTTTTGCTATCACTTCTAATACTTGTTCTGCCAACCATTTACGCAAGCTCGTTAGGTAGATTACTGGCTGATTTCCGCCCCCGCCCCCTTTGCATTCAATGTCTTCTGAGTATCAAGTTTTCCAAGCCCTCTTTCCTCACTAGAAATTTCAACTCTCACTTTCTGATTTTAAGTATCAGAGTCCTTTTTGTCTTCGGTTTGTGTTATACTAGAACATTACCTATTCTATTGTAATAGACTCTCCCACACATAATAAGTAGTAGTAATAGTAGCGGTCGCTAGTTGGGCTCAGTGGAGTTGAGTGAGTCAGTCGATGTCGGGCATTGAAGTATCAACCATCACAACTAGATTGCTGCGTCATTAACTATTATTGCAAGTTCCTAACGTTTTGTACGTCGGACCCTTTTAGGACCGACTTATTGAAATACAAGCCTCCACTGTGAAAACTACTTTATAACAGTTTGATTTGGTTTGGTTAGATTTGTTTTACGGTATATCAACCTCAATGGGTTATTTAAAGCCGACAAGATTTTTATTGCTGATAATATTTTTTTTAAGAAAATGTATTGCTGGTAATATTTTTAAAAAAAATGTATTGCTGGTAATATTTTTTTCAAAATTGTATAGCTGGTAATATTTTTTTTACAAAATTATATTGCTGGTAATATGATTTTTTTTTTTTTTTCAAAAATGTCTTGCTGGTAAAAATTTTTCCAAAAAATTATTGCTGGTATTAAAACCTATTTTTATACTTTCATAGTGTTTTGATCATTTTTTACCCTTGTTTTGACCCCTTTTTGGGACTCTGAGAGGTGCTACCACCTCAGGTCAGGATGGACCTGAGAACACCAGCAATTAAAATGTGGTTTCACACTCCTCAATACCTTCTGATCAAAGGCCTTGCTGTCAGATGTAGTTTATCGTCTTACCCAGGACGCGGATGTATTTTATCGTCCTACCCAGTATGGCTTTTTTTCTTCATTTCCCATAAAACTACTTTGTCATTGCTCACATGTTCGGTCCATGGTATTCTCAGTATCTTTTTGTAGAACCATATTTTTGTTGCTTCGTCTATTCTTCATTGGTGAGGTGATTGTTCAATATTCACTGGACAATCCATATAGGAGGACCGATTTTATATAACAGTCCAGAATTCTTTTATTTGTAACGAAATTTCCTGTTTCTTAATACTCTGCTTAGCTTTAAGAAGACATCTTTCGCTATTCAAATGCGTCTTTCGGTGTCATATTTTCCACCCGCTAAAACACTTCCTAGATATTTAATTCTTTTTACTTCCTTGGTTTTCGTGCCAACAATTTGTAGTTCGTATCTCGGGGTGTTCCTTTTTTCTGAGAAGCATGTATTATATTTGTTTTAATGTTGTCTTTATTCAAAATAACCGAGATTTAGGAAGATTGTAGCTAGAGAGAGAGAGAGAGAGTATCGAAGGAGCAGAGGACAAAGTAGAGAAAACAATGATAACATGTCCAGGGTCGTCTTCACAGCCTCTTTTACCTCCCAAACGTCCTCAAGGCATTCAACAGTTTGGACAATTTCATAGGGTTTTGAGAAGATGATGAAAATTGCCAGGAAAAAAAAAAAGAAGAGAAAATTAATGGGAGATGATGAAAAAAATAACATTTTCTGGAAAAAAATGGCGGCAAGAAATTGAAAAATTAAAAGGTCGAAATTAACTACTAATTATTACTACGCCCATCCAGCACGGCTTAGAATTACTATTACTTCTATCCAGTAGAACACAGAAAAATACTAAGAACAAACATCTTGAAAATAACTACAGATATTTTTCTAAGCATACCTTAGAAGTAGCACAATGGTGAAAGTGCGTAGCGCCCAGTGAGGATCGAACTCACTCGTAATTAATCTAGCGAGACAAGCTTATTAACCATTACACCATGTAATGGTGTAATGGTTAATAAGCACACAAATAATACCTAATCATCAACTGATAGTGTTTGGGACAATAATCTACTGAGAAGGCAAAAAATTATTCAGAAACTTATGAAATTATCAAATAGTCTGGCACACGGCCGCAATACAGGAATTCCGAGCGGGAATCATATTTTTTACAGTTTTTTTTTTAATTACCTCCTTTTATAGGCTAAGAAACGAGGTTGCTTCTTTTCGAACTTTCTCTTCTTTCTTTTGTTTCTTCACTCATTTTGTCTTTATTTTCTTTTATTCTATCTCTCTTTCTCTATTTTCTCTATTAATTCTTTTCTCTATGCGTCTTAATATTGCGTCATTCTTTTTTCTTTCTTTCTTTCTTTCTTTCTTTTTTCTTTCTTTCTTTCTTTCTTTCTTTTACCTATTAATTCTTTTCTCTTTGCGTATTAATATTGTGTCTTTGTTTGTTTGTTTCTTTTTTTTCTTTCTTTCTTAGATTCAGACCTTCACTTTTGTTCGTTTTTTTTTAAATTCCTTCCTTCCTTCCTTCCTTCCTTCCTTCCTTCCTTCATCTGTCTTTCCTTTCTATTTATTTTATTTTTTCAGCATTTCATTTAATTTTGTCTATTCCATTTCACCTTAATTTAGTTTCGTATTGTCAAATTCCATGACTCCATTCTGCTTTTTGCTCTACTTTACTCTATTGTTTTATTATCAAACTTTTCTCATCTGCCTGGCTGCCTATTTATCCGACGTTTATTTGATTTTATTTACTGTTTCTTTACTTAAATTCCTTTAATTTTCGTTTTCTTTTTCCTTTTTCCCATTCAATTTCTTATTCAATTAACATTTTTTCGCTTGTTTTTTTTTCTTTCCATCTCGTTACATTGGTTAATTCCGACCTTTTAATTTTTCAATTTCTTGCCGCCATTTTTTTTCTAGAATCTTTTATTCCTTTTTCATCATGTTCCATTAATTTTCTCTTCCTTTTTACTTTCTTTCATAATCCAGTGTCTTTATCATTCTTAAGACGAGAGTAACACGAGACCTGAATTACAAAAATTCCTCGAATAAAAAAAAGAAGGCATTTTCATTGTGAACATTACATATTCAATAGCCACTCTGAGCTGCCTTCATCTGGGTTAAATTAGCCATCTTATGTGAAACAATTGTCGTTCATTCATGAAAGCAGTTGTCTTACAAAGCGGTCGATCGATTTAAAATGTTCGGAATGTTTTTACCGCTATCATAATTGTGAATTGGTCCTGGCTTGGATATCGTGCTTTAGATTTGTTTCCAAGCCAAGAAATCTATGAAAATTTGTGAAAAAAATAAAATAAAATAAAATAAATAATAAAAATAAATAATATGACTTGAAGTGGAGCGACTACATCGTATCAAGAATTGCATCAACTGTAAAGAAAGTTGGGTCACTGTGTCGTGCCAAAAGTTTTTTTTCTCCATCTTGCATATTTACAAATCTACCATTCGTCCGTGCATCGAATACTGCAACCATATCTGGTCTGCTGTTCCAGCGATTCATCTCAAGATTCTTGACAAAATCCAAAGAAGGATTAGTAATGTAATCGATCCTGATCTGGCATCTCGACTTCAGCCACTTTCTCACCGACGTGACGTGGCTTCCATCTTTCTTTTCAACAAATATTTTCATAGATACTGATCTGACGAGATTTTTTTTGGTGCCCCGAATACATGAATTTAAGCGTGCTACTAGATTGGCATTTAGGTCCCACCATTTTACTGTTGAATTAAGTAAATCTAACCGCCACTTCTAATCTAACAGTTTCTTTTCTCGCACTCCCTCCCCTGTGGAACTCCTCCAGTTTACTAGCTTCCCTGATAAATACACGTTAAAAATTTAAATGCAACGTCAATCGCCACCTTCTATCATCTTGATTCCCATTCATTTTTTGACCTTTCTTCACCCCCCCACCCTATACACAATTTTTTCTCTCACTTTTATTCTCTGTAACCCTCTGCATACTAGTGGCATTCTTTGCTTGGGGTGAAATGATTGAAAAAAAGAACTTGGAACTTTAAACTTAACGTTCTTATTGCCTGCCTGCTGCTGCCACACCTTCAACACAACAATCCAAAAAGAGAGAAATTATACTTGTTTGCACACAGATAGACAAAACATTTAAAGCTTTGCTACTATAAAAGGTGTGTGCCCTTGTAACCCCTTGTGTACTTGTGGAATTCCTTGCTTGGGGTGAAATTATTAAAAAATTATGGAAATTAATGAAAAAAAATAAAATCAAAAATATAAAAATTAAAAAAAAATCAGTTGAAGACGTTTACAATCAATGAGGTATTCAGATGGAAGCTTTTTGATAATCCTAGCTTCTGAGCCTGATTGCAGCAGCGCAATGCCTGGTACAAGGTAAACACATTTTCAGGAAAAAAAATCAAATTAGAGAAAAGAATTCTTTCTCAAGATTATTTCCAACCAATCAAAAAAGCGGAATTTGGAACTTGAGACAATTTTTAAAATTTTTGTTTACTGAGCCAGTCGGAAAAATTAAATGGCATCCCGTCAGCCATCTTAATTAATAATTTGTCGAGTTTTTATTTGTTTTACTTTATATGACATGCATTTGATCTAATCAAGGTACACAGACGTACTCCACGGATATAGTATGTATTCGTGTATAAGTCGACACCGCGTTTTAGTTCCAGCCTAGCAAGGCAACATTTTAATGATCCTATTTCTGTCCGAGGATGTGTAACACCGTAAAAACAGCGTGCCTTAGTGAGATTTTTGTTAGGTTAATACCGTTGAAATGCTTTCATCGGAAGCATAAGGTAATTCCTAGTCCAATCTGTAGGTTAATAATAATAGTGTTGAGTCTGCGTTCGCGCACATCCCGATAATAATGAACCGGTTTTTGTTTGTTATAAAAGCTGAAATGAAAATCTTATAAATACTAGAAGTAAAAAGTGAGTGAAAAGATTACTAACACTGGTCCACTCGATTTTTGGTGCCAAGAAACAAAAAACATTTTTTAGCTAATTTGCTGGTGCTGATTTCGAAAATGACCTTAGTTTTTCATGGTTAGCTGCCATTTTTGCTGTACTGAAATTGCTCATTTTTGGAAAAAAAAAAACAAAGATCAATTTACGATCATGGTTGATCGCAAAATTTAGTTAATAAAGGTCGTAGAAACCCATCGATTTTCAAGTAGGCCGAGCAATTTATGTCAGCCAACCTGAAATAAACTATTTTTATAAGAAAAAATGTGTTTTTGAGTCAAAAATCTTAAAATTGAAGTTCCGAACTTTTCCAATTCATTGACAGAATTCAAATTGACTGATAAACTTTATGAGTAATACACTTTAGTAAACCTGATAATTAAGGTGACATCAAAAAAAAAAAGTGAAACCATAAAATCTGTTTGATATTCATAAATTTATCCCATCACTTTTATTCCTTCACTACGGAAGGAAACCAAGCACATTGAGAGCATTTTGTTTTCACAGTTGGAAAGAAACTCCAACTAAAGCCATCCCAATTGAATGCATCTATTCTATTGTACATGATACTGCTGGAGTATCAAAAGGGACTTAAATAACATTGAACATGACAGACAATCAAGAAAGAGATCATTTTTATCATAGTTCTTATGTTCATGAAGTTTTTATTTCTGCTGTTAGTTTATGAAATGATTTCATGAAAATACTTGTTGGTCTTAGTATATTCAATCGTGTTATTTTTAAAGACTTAGGCTCTGATTTTTATTGCAGAAATAGTATTTCTCAACAAGGAGACCAATATTACTTGGTTTAAATATGAATTGAGAGGTTTCTACGATTTTATTATGAGGATTATTGACATCGGTCAATATCATATATACAGAATTCCCTAAAAATGAAGCATTTCTGTACAGCAAAAACGGTAGCTACCCAAGAAAAAGTAATGTCATTTTCAGATTCAGCGCCCTCAAATTAGCTAAAAAAAAAACGATTTTTGGTGTCTCGACGCTATTTCAAATAATTTTTTGTGAGCCAGTGTAATTGTTTTATAAAATAACTAACAGTAGAGCCCGGCGTTGCCCGGGGATGTAACAGTAAGAGATAGATCAAGTATCAACCATCATAAAGACTGAAAAATGAAATTGACAAAGATTATTGTTTAAGATTGACGGACACGCATGTCTTAATTAGTTTTGTTTTTTTGTTTTTTTTTGTTTTTTGTTTTACGAATTGGTCAAACCCCAACTCAAACAAAAACATTGTTTTCAATCGTTATGAGTCTACCGATTGAATAGAATTTTATTATAAACAATTGTCTTGTAAATGGAATTTTTAAAGCATTCTGAATGTAAAAATAAAGAAAAAAGGGTGCAAGACAATAAGAAACACTACCTGCCAAAAAAAAGTGAAGTTTTGTTGAAATCGGTTGAAAAATGTAGGAAATCCGATCCCATATATAAACGAACACACACGCACACACAGAGGCACACACGCAAACAACCTGGGTTTTATAATAAGTATAACTCGATATGAGTTGTCCCCCTTTCATTTTCGCGACAGCGATGCTTTTTAATCGTGTTTTCAAATTGATTTCGTGCAAAAACAATTGTGTTTTTCCAATTTTTGGCGCTGTCAGAACCACCGCAAGGTAATTTTACGTAGTCCTGTGAAGTTTTGTTGAAATCGGTTGAAAAATGTAGGAAATCCGATCCAATTTATAAACGAACAGACAGACAGACACACACACACACACACACACACACACACACACAATCTGTGTTTTATAATAAGATGATCTCTGCGAAATAATGTTAAAAATCAACATTTGAAATTAGGATTTGCCACGACTCGAAAACTAACAGATAAAAGTAAGAAACAACCCTTGTTAGCAAGTTTCGTCGTACTTGATAGATATCAAACTTGGAATAAGCGACAATAGGAAGACTGTATAGCGCCAATCATTAGAAATGAATGCATGAGCCAATATTTGTGATACTTCATATGTACTAAGCTCAGGTAAATAAAGCATAAAGAAAGGAAATAAAAATAGAATAGCTGTATAGCGCCAATCATGTGAACAGGAATCAATATTTGTGGTTCTTGATGTTTATTATACTTAGCTGAGTACAGCGTAGGACTAAATAAGAAAAATGAGAATAGGAAGATTGTATAGCGACAGTCATCAGCAAAGATCCCAGGAGTCAATATTTGTGATTCTTTTTGCTTAATTAGCTTACTTCAATGCAGTTTAAGGCTAATTGAAAAGAAAAGAGAAGAGGAAGATTGTGCAGCGCCAATCATCTTTCAGGGACACTAGAGTCATTATTTGCGATTATTGATTTTTCTAGGCTTAGCTGAGAAAGTACAATGAGGCTGAATGAAAATAAAAAAGATCGTTGTGTCCATCATCAATCACGAGCTAATAGTCGTAATTCTTGATATTTACTAATCTTAGCAAGTAAATAGTGTGTACGAAGATTGTATTGCGTCAATTCTTTAAGT